GGAAGGGCTGGTTTGGGAGCTTTCTATGGGACTTTTATCCTCTTCTGACAGCACCTTTAGCCTGCTTTCCTTAAGGAATTGACCACAAACCAGGTTTTAGGCCTGGTTTTAGCACCTGACTGGGGTTTTAGCACCTGACTGGGACTTGGCCACAACCCTTGTTCCTTCCTACACACTCATCCCTGGGATGGGCCCAGAGGAACCTGTGAAAGGGATGGTTTGGGAGCTTTCTAAGAGAGTTTTATCCTCTTCTGACAGCACCTTTAGCCTGATTTCCTTAATTTGCTGAGCATAAACCAGATTTTAGGCCTGGTTTTAGACTTGGCCACAGCCCTTGTTCCTCCCTGCACACTCATCCCTGGGATGGGCCCAGAGGAACCCGTGGAAGGACTGGTTTTGGGAGCTTTCCAAGTGACACTAAATTGTTTTTGTGGTGGGCGAATCCCACCTTTTCCCAAATCAGGGCGTTTCTTTCAGAAAAGCTGCTTTTTGATGGGACTCTGAGACTTTTTTTTGCCGGAATCTGGTGCAGGGTGGGAAGCAAATCGTGCCAGGGAAGCAGCTGTGGGGAATGTGAGACCTTGGGATTCTCTTGGAACACGAGACACCAAGTGAGGTCCAGGTGGGACATGGTGGTGACTCTTGTGTCTCCCTCCAGGCATCTGACTCCAGCCTAAACGAAGAGGATGGAGTCCAGGTTTTCCTCTGGTGGCTGCTGGGTGAGTGCCAGGATAATTCCTGGAATATTGGCAACACTCAGCTTTTGATGGCATCGATTCCTCTGCAGGGCTGCTTCAGGTGTTCCTTCAGCACAGAATTCCGGGGAGGAGGCTTTAAAATCTGCCCCTTGAGTCCGGTTTTATACCTTTGGGGGCTCTTTGGGAAAATCTGGGATCGATGTTTGGTCAGGAGAGGCCAAAACTATCCCTGGTACCCACCAATTCAGGGCCGAGCCTGTTATTTTTAAGAGGTCCCTTGGCATGTTTGGAATGAAACACTTGTGTCTCTTGGCATCCCAGCCTTTGGAATTAAACACTTGTGTCTCTTGGCATCCCAGCCTTTGGAATAAAACTCTTGTGTCTCTTGGCATCCCAGCCTTGGGAATAAAACTCTTGTGTCCCAGGGGTGTTACCAGTTTTCTGGCTTGGCTTTTTTTATCCCTGGAAAGCCAAACTGTGGGAATGTCCCTGTTGGAGCTGTGCTTCCCTTTGCAGGCATCGCCGCCCTCACCTTCGCCCTCCTCATGTCTGCCAGGATGGGGATTTTCCAGGAGACTCTGTACCAGAGGTTTGGGAAGCACTCCAAAGAGGCCCTCTTCTACAATGTGAGTCCTGCTGGGCAGCTGGAGCTGCTCCAAGAGTCCCTTTGGCTCCCGGCTTGGCGCAGATCCGGAGGAGGGCTGTGCTCCCATCCGGTTTTCCAGGCTGGGATTGGGGGTGGATTCCCATCACCTGGGGTGGATTCCCATCACCTGGGGTGGATTCCCATCCCCATGGCTCTGTTCTCTCCCCAGCATGCCCTGCCACTCCCTGGATTCCTGCTCCTGGCCCCCAACATCTACCAGCACGCCGTGCTCTTCAGCCAGTCCGGTGAGTTGGGCGCGGGGGTCCTTGGCCTGGACTTTTCCCGCCCTCTGGAAAACGCTCCGGGAATCTTTCAGGCCGGCAGTTGTGCATTCCAGGCTTGGAATATGCAGTCGCCTCGGGATATGCAAGCCCTTTGAATTTTCAGGAAGGAATTCCTGGCTGGGAGGGTGGGGAAGGGCTGGGATGGATTTCCCAGAGAAGCTGTGGCTACCCCTGGATCCCTGGAAGTGTCCAAGGCCAGGATGGATCCTGGAGCAGCCTGGGATAGTGGGAGGTGTCCCTGCCCATCTGGATGATCTTTAAGGTCCTTCCAACCCAAACCATGATGAAATCCCAGGTTTCTCACTAATCCCCACACACAGACCAAGCCA